GTCAGCCCTGGGGATGCTCTGGAGGGGGGGGACACGGAACCAGGGTGCCCTGCGTGGAGGGAAGCCTCCCTGAAGATGGGTGGCCCTCAGGGAGCCTTTCTGGGGTGGGGGTCAGCCCCAGGGAAGCCTTCCTGGAGCCCCCTGCGTGGAGCAGGGAACAGCCCCTGTGGCAGCGAGGTGGGGACGGGGTCCCCCCCAGATGGAGAGGGGTAGCCCCAGGGGCGAGCAGAATTGGGTGCCCTGGGGTGGAAGGGAGCAGCCCCCCACCCGTGGAAAGGGGGCTGCTCTTGGGGGGGGCTTTCCTGGGTGCCCTGTGTGAACCAGCCCTAGGTGATATCAGGGCAGAGGCAGCAGCGCCCTGGGTGGGGGGAGATGGGCCCAGGGTGTTCTGCGTGAAGGGGCGCAGACCAGGAGGTGCCCATATGGAGGGGCAGCATCCCCCACGACAGTGAGGTGGGGACTGGGGTGCCCTGTGTGTAGGGGACAGTGGGGTGCTCCGGGATCCCCCAGGCACAAACCTGAATGGGGAAGGGGCACCGTGGCATCCCTGTCCTGCCTGGGCACTGTCCCTACCCCGGTGGCCTGTGCCACAGCAGCGGGTGCTGCCTGGGCGCTCACAGCCCGGGGGTCCCCGCTGTCCCTCGGGCCATACCTGTGTGGCGGCAGGGTCTGCAGGCTCCCCCCTGCGTGGGGGTGGCATCGAGTCAGGGTGAGAGCTGTGTGCTTAGCTACAGCAAGAACGAGACCGACAGTAAAATCTGGGCTTTCCCAGGAGCCCGGGGATTTACCAGGGACTTGCCTGCGGCCAGGCAGCTCTTGGTTGTCCCCATGGGTGTCCCTGGGGCGCGGGGCCCTTGACTGCACCGGGGCTGGGCACCCCGTGTGCTGTGTTTGCAGGGCAGCGCTGCCCGGACGCAGCGGGGGAAAGCAGCCGGCGCCTGGTGAGTAAAGGCCCCGTGGGGATGCAGAGGAGGCACCGGCTAGGCAAGAATTATTAACAGGCGCTCGTCTTGCATCATGCCCTGGGGTCAAAAAAATGCAATGAAGTGCAGGGGCTGGTGGGGATTCCTGTGTCTGGGTCCCTCTCTGAGGGGACGGCGTGACCTGGAGAAGGGTCCTTGGTGCCGCAACTGGTGCAGGAGCCTGCCCCATCCCTGGTAAGCTGGTGATGGGGAATGGGGCAGTTAGCATTAAGAAACGTCCATCGACAGCCAGAGATAAAGACTCTCGGTACTTCCTCCTGGTAATGGCATGGTAATGCCCAAGTGTCAGCTCACTCGGAGTGGACCCATGTGGAGAGAGGACAGTTGTAGTGTGGGTGCTCTTATCTTGATCCCAAATTTATCTCGGCCAACCGCTTCATGCAACTGAATGATAGCCTGATAAGGCGGCTGATCTCCCCGGAGTTTTGCTTGGCGAGTCAGGGAGGGTGTTGGGAGGTGGGGGGCAGCTTCACCCCCCTGCTGCGGTGTCAGCCAGATCTGTGCCCTAGATTTAGGGAAGTTGCTGAAGCTGTGCTCTCCCACGTCCTGGGGCAGGTCAGCTCCAGCTGGGTGCTGCTTAGCATGCAGCGAAAGGGAAGTTCTGAATCACGTCTTGCACAGGGGCTGCAGCTACCCCAGCCAGCTCCGCTCTCTGCTGCGGGGAGCAGAGCACCCTGCCCAGCCCTGCCTGCTTCGGCAGCACAGGTGGAGTCTGGAAGCATGGATGGAGGCTCCGTTTCCCTGCCCAGAGCCTGGGTTATTCCTAGAAGGTGGGGGCTACCCCACCACCTCCCTTGGCCGACCGCAGCGCGACTGAGCGGTGCCGGCAAACCCTTTGGAACCGGCTGTGCCAGTACCGCTCTCGGCTTGCTTGGTCACGCTACGGTGAGATGTTTCGCGTGGGAGCGGGGCGTCTCATCTGGTGGCAACCCGTGCTCAGATCAGAGGAAACCGCAGCCTCGGGGGGGGGAGATATCACGAGTTGCTATCAGTGGCATCTCTCCACCACGGTGCTGGGCCGCCAGTGCCGGCGGTTGTGGGTGGCTCACCCCGCACGCCGGCCTGCCTGCTTGCCAGCTTTTTTTGGGGGCAGCTTCCTGCCACAGTGAGCTGGGAAGGATGAGTAGCTCTTTGCTGCCTGTCTGAGCCAGTCCGGCAGTGGTGTCCCAAATTCCCTGCCCCGGGCGCGTGTGCTGTGCAGCCTGGCATTCCCGTGATCCTGTCCCGCAGGGCCCAGAGATGAGAGCCTGGACCCTCTGCTGCCTGCCCAGGGGTGCTGCAGGGATGGGCAGGGTGGTCTTGGGGTGCTCCCGTGACCCCACCTGGGAGAGCGGGCTGTTCCCAAGACCCCTCTGGCTCACAGTGAAGTAGCGTTTGCTTGGGCAGACCCAGGGATATGTGGGTGTCGGGATGCAGCTCGCAGCCCCATGCCAGAGGAGCACGGCTCCATGAGGGTGGCCGGTGGGGGTGGCCCCAGTTGATGGGCACTGCCTGTCCCTGGGGGGCACAAAGAGGAGGGAGCAACGAGTCTTCTGCGTGTGCGATGGCAGTGATGGCTCGTGGGTGGGTGCAGGAGCAGACATGGAGGCTGCAGCAGCCTGGGGCCCGCAGCTCCTGCCCCAGCAGTCCCCTGGGGATGTGGGCAAGTACCTCTTAGGGGACTGCAGAGCTCAACCCAGCAGGGCCCTGGGACTGGGGAGCGGGCAGAGCCTCCCCAATCCTCCAGACAGGGCTCACTTAAAACCAACAGCCCTGTAATGGGGAACAAAGGAGGTCTGGTCTGGTTTGAGCCTTCTTGGACCCTTCATGTCCCGGTGGCTTGTCTGCGGCAGAGACACTGCAGTGTGCTCGAGTCCCCTGTCCTTCGGGGGACCTCCTGAGCACCAGAGCCACCTGTGAGCTGGTGCAGGGCAGCACCCAGCACCCTGCTGGGGTCCTTGCTCAGGATGGATCCGAGCTGGGCTGGGATTGTTGCTGCCTGCCCTCAGCACAGGGAGAACTGCTTTGCCCCGGCCCTGCAGCAGCTGTGGTGGCTGTGCTACATGGAAGCAATGATGAGGAGGAATTGCTGTTCATGGATGAGAGGAGGAGAAATCACTTTGTGAGGAGGAGTATCTTGCAAAGACCCCTGGAGAGGGGACCTTGGGGACCTGGCAAAGTGGCTGCAAGTTCCCCTCAGCGATAGGAACAGGTTCCCGTGGCTTTTCGGCAGCGCCCAGTGAAGCTGGGGACACGCAGGACAGGGTGCGCGACTGTCTCCGGGTCGGCGCCTGGGCCTCAGGAGCAACGGAGCATCTCAGCAGATGTGCTCCATAACCTTGTGAAAGGGGAGGGAGAAGCCAGCCTGTCCCTGCCTGCTCCACGCAGGCGTCCCCACGCCGTCACGCTGCGGCAGAGGGAGGAGTCTGGCTCTGCTGTCCCTGACTCAGCTGGGACCTTCCCATGGCTCAGAGCCTGGCGTGGGGGGCAGATCTGCTCCTGTCCCCCCGCATCGCGATGGGGGTGTCCCTGGCCATCGCTCTGCAAGTGGCTTCTGCAAGCATGGAGGGAGCGTGGCTACCTCTGCTAGCCCCACGGGAGAAGGGACAAGGGGGTGCCTTATCGCCCTTGGGCAGACGTCAGGGCGGCACGTGTCCTTGGGGCTGGTTATCTGCATGCTGGAGATGGAGAGAAGCCCTCCATGGCTCCAAGTCGTGATGGTGTGAGGGTCTGTCCTCTGGTGTTTTGAGGGGGGCAGAGCAGGTGAGAGATTGTGCTGCAGTTTGTAGGGGGAACTTGACTGGGGAAAAGTCTGCTGACAAGCATCTGTCTTGCTGTTGTGTGCAAGAGGGAAGGACATCACCCTGTGCAGGACAGGGTGAGGGGAGGATCTGGGGCTCCATGTGTCTCACCTGGCTCGGGGAAGGTGCCCACCTCCCTCCCCAGCCCTGTGGGGTAGGATCTGTCCTAGCAGAGGACTGGCTGTGTCTGAGCCAGTTGGGGCTGTTGGGGTCCAGGGAAACAGGGCTCGCAGCTTCTCACAGCTCTGCTCTCTTCCCAGGCACCACCTGCGTCCTCGTGTCCTTCCCCTTCATCTTCAACCCCTGCCTGGGTTGCAAGGAGAACACGCCGGAGTGGGCAGCCTTTATCTACTACCTCCCCTTCATCATCATCTTCCAGTTCGGCTGGGCAGCCACACAGATCTCCCACCTATCCCTCATCCCTGAGCTGGTGACCACTGAACATGAGAAGGTGGAGCTCACAGCTTTCAGGTGAGCACAGCCAGACCTGGGTGTCCCCTGAACCTGGGGGAGTAGCCCTGCCTGCGCCAGGTCCCATCACTTGTTTGACGAGAGGTCCCCTTGGTGCCACGGGTCTGGCGTGGCACACTTGAGTCCTCGGTATGGCAGGACTAGGACTGGGCCGTGTGGGTGTCCTGCAGGATGTATCCAAGTGACATTGGTTGTGGTAGGTTGACCCTGGCTGAACGCCATGTGCCCACCAAAGCCGCTCTATCACTCCCTCCCTCAGCTGGACAGGGGAGAGAAAATATAACAAAGGGCTTGTGGGTCAAATAAGAACAGGGAGAGATCACTCAAACAATTACTGTCACGGGCAAAACAGACTCGACTTGGGCAAAATTAACTTAGTTTATTGCTGATCAACCAGAGTAGGGTAATGAGGAATAAAACCAAATCTCAAAACACCTTCCCCCCACCCCTCCCTTCTTCCCAGGCACAGCTTCACTCCCTGATTCTCTACCTACCCCCCCTGCAGCAGCGCAGGGGAATGGGGAATGGGGGTTACGATCAGTTCATCACATGTTGTCTCTGCCACTTCATCCTCCTCAGGGGGAGGACTCATCACATTCTTCCCCTGCTTCAGCATGGGGTCCCTCCCACGGGAGACAGTCCTCCACGAACTTCTCCAATGTGGGTCCTTCCCACGGGCTGCAGTTCTTCACAAACTGCTCCAGCATGGGTCCTTTCCACGGTGTGCAGTCCTTCAGGAGCACACTGCTCCACCGTGGGTCCCCCACAGGGTTGCAAGTCCTGCCAGAAAGCCTGCTCCATGGGCTCCTCTCTCCACAGATCTGCAGGTCCTGCCAGGAGCCTGCTCCAGTGCAGGCTTCCCACGGGGTCACAGCCTCCTTCGGGCACCCACCTGCTCCGGCGTGGGGTCTTCCCCGGGCTGCAGGTGGATATCTGCTCCACTGTGGACCTCCATGGGCTGCGGGGGGACAGCCTACCTCACCATGGTCTTCACCACAGGCTGCAGGGGAATCTCCGCTCTGGTGCCTGGAGCACCTCCTCCCCCTCCTTCACTGACCTTGGGGTCTGGAGAGTTGTTTCTCTTACATGTTCTCACTCCTCTCTCCAGCTGCAGTTTCTGTGCCCGCCGCAACTTTTTTCCCTTCTTAAATATGTTATCACAGAGGCGTTACCACTGTCACTGATGGGCTCGGCCTTGGCCAGCAGCAGGTCCATCTTGGAGCCAGCTGGCGTTGGCTCTGTCAGATAGAGGGGAAGCTTCTAGCAGCTTCTTATAGAAGCCACCCCTGTAACCCGCCTGCTACCAAAACCTTGCCACACAAATGCAATACACTGGTCTTCTATGTTGGTGGCCCAAACCCTTTGGTGCCGGGAGGGAATGTCTTGATGCCAGGGATGTTAGTGACACAGCCCGTGGGACACTTCTGTGAGCTGGGGGCACTTCTCCTTCAGGACTGGAGAGTGATGCTCATAGGGGAGGAATAGATGATGCCCCCAGGAACAGTTGGGCATTGTCATGTGCGGGCTGTCCCATAGGCAGGAATGGTCCCATGGCCAGGCTGGGCAGCACATGCAGCTCTGTGTGCGGAGCCCAGCTCAGTGCCGCTTATCTGGCAGGATCAGGCTGTGGGAAGGAGTGTTTTATCAGATGGAGCAGGGCTTGGTTATCTGCCCCAGTGGGAGGAAGTTCCCCTTCTGGCAGGTGAGCAGGACCGCAGCACAGCTGGGCAGAGAGGATGTTGGAGCAAGTGCTGGGGTAACCCTGGTGCCAAGGCGTCCTGCTCTGGGGGCACTGGGTTAGGCAGCTCAGGGCATCCTTGGGGCAGAGGTGTACTGTGACAGGAGGGTGGACAGGCTGACCCAGAGGGATCTTGTTTTCCTCCCAGTCATGCCCCGAGGCTTGGGGGCTTGGGAGGTGCACCGCTAAGGCTAATGCCTGGCCAGATGCTGTGTGCTCTTGGAGGTGTTGCCTGAGCAATGACACTGGGGTGCAAAGCTGACTGTAGCATGCCTGGCTTGGAGGGCAGCCTTGGGTTGAGGTGTCCCCACGATGCCTGGAGCTGTGCTCCTCCCTCTGCATCACCCTGAGGTGCTGTCTCCCCTCAGGTATGCCTTTACTGTCATGGCCAATATCACAGTCTATGGCCTGGCCTGGCTCCTGCTGAACTTCCAGGTGGACCAACCTGACCGCACAGAGCACCTAGGCATCCAGGATGTCCCTATATTTCGGGTGAGTGGCAGGGCTCAATCCCTGGAGTCCTCTCTTCCCTGGGTGGGCCATGGCTCAACTGGGGAGGTACCAAAGGGAGTGAAATAGCAGTGCCCTGAAACCTCACCTACTGCACTGGGCAGAGGCTGCACTGAGCTCTCCCTGGGGTTTTGGAAACCCCTCTTTATCCACCAGACTGCTGGGGGTTGGATGATGGGCAGGCAAAGGGCACCCCATGCTATGCTCACCCCCTTTGTCTCACCCAGAACCTGTCCCTCATTGTGATGGGGCTGGGGGCCGTGTTCTCCCTCATCTTCCACCTGGGCACCAAAGAGAAGCCATACCCGCCGGGCTCACTGCCCCAGCTGGAGGAGGGCACACCCCTGCTGCAGAAGGAGCCTACGAGCCCCCCACGCCCACTGCTGATCTGGAAAGACTGGCTGCTGGAGCCTGCCTTCTACCAGGTATGGCTGCAGGCAGGGCTTGCGGCACCTGTCCTGGGCTGCTGCCCTGCCTGGGTGCTGTGGGCATCCTCTGGCAATGGGACGTGCCCCTGGTGTGGATGAGGGTGGAGAGATGGGCTGTACTGGGCACCCACCTACCACGTCAGGGGGCTGTACTCTTCTCAGTGGGCATCTGTGCCATGACAGGATTGGGCTTGGAAGGTGCCAGTCTTCCCTACCTCCAGTTTGCATGGGCTGAGCAGTGCTGCCCTGTCTCTGTCCCCTCACAGGTTGCGGTGCTCTACATGTCCACCCGGCTCATCATCAACCTGTCCCAGACCTACATCGCCATGTACCTGACCAACTCACTGCTGCTGCCCAAGGTGGGCGGAGGGCAGGTCCCTGCCTGTGTGCTGAGGTTGCATGGGCAGGGGTCCTGTGCCGATGGCACGGTGCTCATCTTCTCCCTGTCCTCGTCTCTTGCAGAAGTACATTGCCACCATCCCCCTGGTGATGTACATCAGTGGCTTCCTCTCCTCCTTCCTCATGAAGCCTGTGAATAAGTGGATAGGTCGAAATGTGAGTCCTGGGGGCCTGGTGATGTTTGAGGTAGACCCAAGGAGAGGCCATGGGGCCAGATCCTGACCACACAAGTGAGCAGAGTACTCAGCACACCTGAGACTGACTGGAGAGCAGGGACCCCTTGTGCATCCTCTGCAGATGACCTCCTGCTGCAGCCTGGGTCCCGCTGGGACAGTATGGGCAGTGGGCGGGGTGAGGGTGCGTGGGCCTATCCTGCACATCTCCGAGACTGGGAAAAGTGATGCTGGTTCAGAGTCAGCCTGTCCTGTGCAGCCCCAACCAGGCTGGGAGAGCCTCATGGTGCCCGTGAGAGGCAGAGGGAGGGTTTGGCTGAGCCACCCTGGACAGACATGGGGGTCTCTGCAGTGCCAGCAGGAAGGGGCTGCCCCTCCAGTGAATCCCCCGTCCGCACTGCAGCAAGCACCGCACCCCGATAAGCCCCCACCTCTCCTGCCAGTTGGGTGTCCCCGTGCCCTATGCAGGCACCATGCCTACAGCTCTGCTGGGGTCTCAGCTCTTACGCTGCAGCCAACGCTGTAAAACAGCCTGGAGCACCACGAGGCCCTTGCTGTTTGGGGGCTCCTTGTTTAAAACCAACTGGGAGAGAGCCAGGGCTGTCCCCTGCGGGTCCTAGGCAGCAGCTGGCCCCCATGCCCTCCCCATTCACCCCTGCCTTGCTGGCTGTTGGCCGAGCTGGGGTCTAAGCTCTCCCTTTTCCCTCTGCCTGTCCCCACGCTGGCCCGGAGCAGTTGACCTACTTCGTGGGCATCCTGGTGGTCTTGGCCTTTGCCTCCTGGGTGACCCTGGCCAGGCAGATGGGAGCAGAGATCTACGGGGCGGCCGTGCTCCTTGGGGCTGGCTCTGCCACTATCTTGGTCACCTCCCTCTCCATGACAGCAGACCTCATCGGCACCAACACGGTACGTCCGCTCCTCCCGGCCGGGATGGACCGGGGTGTCACAGCAGGGCTCGGAGCCCCTGGGCTGGGGCGGTCACTGGTGTGGGATCAGGGGGGACGGAGACCCCTGTGAGGGGGCTTTGCTGTGGGGGTGCAGGCAGCCCTATCCCCTGTGCCCGGGCTCTGCTGTAATATGGGCTCTGCCCATGAGAGGGCACAAGGCTCTCGCTGCCGGCGCCCGCTGGGCTGCGTGGCAGGGATGGACTCGGCACAGCGGCTGATGAGGTTTCCTCTCCCCTCTCAGCACAGCGGCGCGTTCGTCTACGGCGCCATGAGCTTCACCGACAAGATGGCCAATGGCCTGGCTGTGATGGCGATCCAGAACTTGCATCCATGCCCGTAAGCATCCCTGCAGGTCAGGAACCCTCCCAGTGGCAGCTCTGGCCACATCATCTGGGGGCCAGGCAGCAAATATTCCTGGTTTGGAGTGAGAGACATGTGTGGAAACCAGCTCTGAGTTGTCTTAAATCCTTCCTCAACTTCTCTTTTGGCCCTAGACAAGGGCTGCATCTGTGGGATGTGTGAAGGGGCTGGGGATCTCAATGTCCAGCATGCTGCCCTCTCTTCTTGCCCTGGACCTTTCCTTTGCGTCCCAGTGTGAACCAGTCCCAACACTGAGGACGTGGGACCACTGTCAGCAGCCCCAGGGCACTTGGGCAGCACTGGGCCAGGCTCCGGTCCTGGCCACCAAGCCACATCCCTGCCTTCTCCCTGCAGGACCGAGCTCTGCTGCCCTGCCTGCATCAGCTTCTACCACTGGGTGATGGTGTTGGTCACTGGAGGCATTGCCATTGCTGCTATCACCTCTCTGTGCTGCATCATGGTCTGGCCCATCCGTATCCGCTACCGTGAGTGGGGCTGGGGGCGCTGGGGGGGGGCTAGGCATGTGGCTGGGGGCCCTGGGAGCCCCATGTCCTGTGCCAGCCTGGGCTAAAGTGAAAGTGTCTTTCCAGATGGCCCCAGCTGCAGGGAGGTGGCAGGAGCCCTATCCCAGCAGGAGCGGGGAGGTGGCAGGAGCCCTGTCCCAGCAGGAGGTCCTGTGGCAGGGCTGGCTGCGGGGACGCTCGTGGCCCTGCCCGCAGGGGGATCCTTATGGTAGGCACGCGGGGCAGGACCACCATCCCGCTTCTGCTGCTCCTGGCCCCAGAGCCAGAGGCTGTGCCTGCTTGCTGTGCGCTCCTGGAGGGCAGCATCCACCTGCGATGGCCGTGCTGATGCTGGCACCCCTTGGGTCACCAAGGGGTGGCAGGGGCTGCTCCGCGTGCTGGTAGCCAAATGCGGGGGGCAGGGGATGGGGATGGGGTGCCTCTTGCCAGGCCGGGGACCCAGGCACCCGTGCTCAGTGCCAGCTCAGCAGCTGCCTCTCTGCCCTGCTGGATGCCTGTGTCTTGCTCTAGGGTGGGGGGAGAGGACGGACACCCCCCATGCTGCCTTGGGGATGTGCTAGGTAGGGCCCCTTGTGCCATTGGCAGGAGAGTCCTGAAGGTCCAGGCCAGCACGTGGTGGGTCACCCCAGCAGCTGCAATGGCTCCTAACCTGTCCCTTCCCTCCCCTCCCCGCAGATGCTGTCTGCCTGCAGGGGCTGAGCGAAGCGGAGACCCCCTACGGCGGGACGGAGAGTGTCGAGGGAATGAGCCAGCACAGCACCATTAACTGAGCCAGGCCCGTGTCCTCGGCCACCGTGGTGTCCACGCCACTGAGCTCTGCCTGGAGGGACCCCCGTGGCGGGGGGATGGCGCTGGGACGGGGGTGCTGGGCTGGGGGTGGGGGGTGGCCCCCTGCCCTGTCTCCCTGTCACCTTGCACTGGGTTCGCGTCCCCCTCACACACACCCCCACCCCGTGCCCTGCCTGGGGACTCGTGAAGGATGTCACCCTGTGCTTGCACAAGTATAACACTAGAAGGCTCTGGGCCGGGTGGCGGGGGTCTGTCCCAGCACAGGGGACAGGTGCCTAGCCCTCGGTTTTAACCTGCTTTTTTAAGGTCAGTATGTACAAATGGCACTTTTTAAAGGAGGAGAAAAAGGAGAGAAAAAAACCCAAACAACAAAGCACCTCTAACCGCGGATAAATGCTCTTAGTGTCTTTCCTGCCGTGCTCGGGCAGCACCCGCGGGACCTGGGCTCTGCTCCTGAGGGTGGGGGACGCCCACGGCTGGGGGGAAACAGGAGCAAGGCAGGGGCGTTGGGGCGTGCACAGGGGCTCCGCGAGTCGTGACCCAACGGTGCTCCCCCTTGCTCCTTTACTCCTCCACGGAGACGGAGGCCCCAGCACCGGGGGAAGTGCGGGGGGAATCCGGCAAAGCGGGACAGAGGCCGCCAAGATGGCCGCCCTCAACAACGATGGCGGCTGCGCCCGCAAACAAAATGGCTGCCGCGCAGCAGCGCTTCAGCCCAATGATTGGTGTCTGTGCGGGTGTCCCGCCCCCCCGGGGCAGGGCAACCAATGGGGGCGCTTATTGCCTTAGCGGGGCCGGAGCCGGGTGGGGCCTGGGTCCCCGCTGCTCCCGGCACGGGAGGCTTCGGCCCCCGCTGAAGGCAGCGCGGGGTGAAGGCCAGGCTGCCCCAAGCTGCGGGTGGCTTGACCGCCGGCGGCGACTCGCCGGTGGGTCGCCCGCCTCGACCCCCGTGTGCCCGCGCTGCCGTCCCGGGGCAGCTCGGGGGCTCCCGGCACCTGCTCCCTTGGGGCCCGGCCCCACCGGCCTGCTGGCGGGACGGGGACGGGTCTGGTGCCGCAGCTCGGGTCGTTTCCCGTCTGCAATAAACCCTTCGGTGGGGGGAAGTGAGGCGTGAGGCGCCCTGTCCCGCCGGGCCGGCCGGGCGCCGGAGGGGTCGGCACCCGGGTGACTGCCGTGTGACCGTGAGTCACCCGGGGCGGAGAGGCCGTGTGGCGAGGCACGGCAGCCAGGCATGTGCTGCTGCTGTCTCCAGCGCCTTCCTCAGCCCCTTGGGCAGACCGGAGCTGGGACTCGAGGCCACCCCGACCCGGCAGGCATGGGGGGGGTCAACGATGGCAGCCACGGGGGTCCTGGTGCCGCCCTGGGAGCACTCGGCGGGCCCAGGGGTCCCTGGCTGTGCCGTGCTGTGGGGTGCCCATTCTGGGGGACAGCACCGGCACCCCAGGGCACAGCCAGCCCTGCTGAGTGGCACATCTCACCTCCACCTCACTGGGGGTCCCGTTGGCGCCCCATGGCATTCTCGCCCTCTTGAGCACCCTGCCTGACCACCGGGCACCGTGCTGGGGGTCAGGCCGCAGGGACCGAGGGCACAAGGGAGATGGAGCTGGGGGGAGAAGAGCTCTGGGTGCATGTGCCCACACGTGGTGTGTGTGCATGTGCACGCCCCTGCGGGTGTGCGCTGCAGGCATGTGAGCGCGGGCCTGCATGTGTGTGGGGTGCGTGCACATGGGCACCGTGTGCGTGTGCCCCGTGTGCTTGCACACGCGTGTGTGTGATGTGTGCATGTGGGGTGGGCCTCTGCGTGTCAGGCACGTGGGTGCAGGGGGCATGGGCCTGCAGGGCTGCCGTGAACCCCCCGTGGTGAGTGATGGGGAGGGGGTGCTTGGATGAGGGGGCGTCTGTGTGTGAGTGGGCATTGGGGGGGTGATAGGTGTAAGTGTGTGGGGTGGGGGGTGTGTGTGCACACCAGGGCATGGGGGGGTGGTGGTGAGTGGTTTGTGTG